ATGAATACCCACCTACCCACCAAAAAAGCAAAACAGCTAGTCATCACTTATTCTCGGTTTTTCTGTATGCCTAATAAATGCATGAATGGATGTTTACATTTATAGGATATTTAAAGATTAAATGTGGGATAAATAAATAGTCAGTTAAAAAAGCTCATTAATAGTGTGTTCGGGTCCAAGATGAGTACAGACCCCTCCACCCCCACGAGCGAGGAAGTATAGCTGTCTTGTGAGACAGCTGGAGTGGTCCTGCTGCCACAGTCTCACACTTACCTGAGCACACTGCATCTCTGCGGGGGCTGGAACCGTCTTTATAAAGACCACTGTAGTGGTCACTATGGATTCATGCCTGATTTACGGGGGAAGATAATCCTGTGATCTAGTTATAAAAAATATCTGCACAGAAAAACACACAATTCACCCTTAGATGCCTTGACCCGAGAAGTCACTTTTTATTTATTTATTTAATATTATTTGATGCAGTTTTGACTCAATCTTTAAGATATGCCTCATATATTTCATCCGTAATAATTTACCCAAAACATTAGAAATAGCATCAAATTTCTTTTTTATGACTATTCGCGCAAAAGCTATCGGGTCGGTAGCGACGCAACGTATGTAATAGTGTTACAAAAAACGTCCATATGTTGACATGACGGGAAGCTACCGACCAGAACGTCAAGTCTGCAGTTATCGAGTTATCGGATACAGCTCCGACGTCGTAGTATGGTACCCAGTGGTATGTTTAGTCTGTAACAGTTTACCAGCAAAAAGAAAAAAAAAAGTTTACAATAACTTTTTATTTGTGAGAATGGTATTTGGTCACTATTGACCTGATAATGTTATGTTGTAATATATATATCACAGTTTTGGATAACGTGTACACACTCGTAAAAGAGTACACAGATGAAGAGGTGTACCACAAACGGCGAACTGCCGTAGTGTCTCCCAGGAGCCATGTCGCAATGACCATAAAAATGTCACTGTAGTTTATGATTATTGTGTTGAGTAACACATTATCAGACTTAAAATTGTTATTGTTACTACATAAATACATGTATAATGTATATACTAGTTGCTATTATTGCTAGTTGCTATTATTAGCCTAGGGTACGAAATAGGTCTATTAAGAATTCATTTAATTTAATTTAAAAATATTCATAAAACTTAAAATTTTTTCAGAAAGTGTTGAGTAGTCATGGAAGAAACATTCAGTAAATGTTTGCCGAGTCATGGCCATTTGTGGCTTGATTTTTTTATTTTACATGGTGGGTCCCTAAAGGTATATATAAGCGTTTGTAGAATGGACCATGCATCTCAGGGTTAAGCTCTGTCAGCATGTAAAAGGGAAATAAGGTCACTCATAAGATTGATGTGATCCGTAACAGTTACATCAACGTTACTGTAGGGTCACTTTTGAGAATGTCTAAGCTATTCTCCTTCATTATTGATGGCTAAGGAAAGGGTGCATCGGAAAGATCCTCAATCTTGTGAAATCCAGTGTATGCCCTGCACTCTGCTTCCCTCTAGTGGCCACTATAGGAACTCTCGCCTGAAACAACAACAACAACAACTTCACAGAATGGAAAGTTATTGCAAAAGCAGCCAGGGAGATGTGACAGGAAGATTGCAGAAATGGCACTTTATTTATGTGCAGTTTTGGAGACGAGTTCCACAAAACAGGGAGAGACATAAAATAAAGCTATTCCATAATCAGCACAAAGGATCTGAAAACGAAATCAAAACAACACATCAGCTCTTAGGAGGGTCAATGGCAGTCTGTGAAATCAGGGATTATGGTCTGTGTGCAGCTTCTGAAAAGAACCCGTCTCATATAGTTGGTGCTGCTACGAGGAAATGGATGAGCTGGCTTTGTGAGTGATACGAACCACTCGGTGGCGCTTCCTCATACCCCATGAATGTGAAACTCACGGGTGCAGAGAGAGTAGATGGCCGGGGCACTGAAAGTCACTCTGTCACAAGCCAAACACAGTCACATGACCAGAGCCAGGCGGTCCCCCACTTCCAGTAACAGCCCAGATGCCAGAGGACCGGGTGCCTTGTCATTAGTGCTGGTCAAGGAACTGAATAACCCCATGGTCCTCCAGCTTCCTCAGAACCTGTGCTTCATGGGTGATGTTGTGCTGAGATCCCTGGAAATGAGGCAGACAAGCAAGTTCGTGATGAAGGCAGGTTCGACAAAGATGTCCGATGTCCAAGATCAGAAAGACCCAGGCAGTGGGCTGATACAGTGTCTTTCGGGAGGCTAAGAAACTTGGACTTCCTGCACATGAAAGTTGTGGGGCATCGAGAGAGCTTTCCAATGTTACTTTCCAATAAACACCTGCCAAACACCTGCCGTGACGGCTGTTGTATCATTACCCCTAATATGCATAAAAATGGAATAAATCATTCTATATTATATTCTAGTTATATGGATGTAATTACTGAATTAGTCTTAAAGCAGTATCTCAGATATTTAATATCTAATAGTAAAAAAAACATTTTCAGTTATTTTACAACCTTTAAGACTTATGAATGATCCACCAAAAACTATAGCTGTGAGATTCTACAGCTTTAAAACATGATGATGTTAACAAACCTGTTACTAACCAAATGTTTTTTTTTTTTTGTGGGTGAGAACACAAGAAAAATGTTTACTTTTATTCCACACCCAAAAACATCCACTCACAATCATGCAGTTCATCATGTCTCTCCCAAAGTAATGAATCAAGTTGTTCTTGTCACTGGGGTAGCCAAATCCGGCTAGGTGGACCACACTGCAGAAGTTCAAAGCCACGTAGACAGCTAGGATCCCAGAGGTTGGGCAGACAGCTTTCTGCAGAAGGGAGCGGAGAAATCACACAATACAAGCAGGCGTTATTAAATGAAGCCAGTAGGGGGCATGCTGACCTGGGCTCCTAAGCTTGTGATGTCCACGGAGGGGTTTACATCATACAAAACTGTCATAGCCCTGGGGATTTCGGCTGGTTGATCATTAATTTCATAAGTTTGACCATCTCCTTTTTTCCAGATGTGAACCGAACATGTGAATGTGAGGGATCGCAGAAAACTGAAAATACACTATATTGCCAAAAGTATTGGGACACTCTGCCTTTATAGACACATGAACTTTAATGACATCCCATTCTTAATGCGTCGGCTTTAATATGGAGTTGGCCGACGCTTTGCAGCTGTAACAGCTTCAGCTCTTCTGGGAAGGCTGACCATGAGGGTTAGGAGTGTGTTTATGGGAATTTTTGACCATTCTTCCAGAAGAGCATTTGTGAAGTCAGGCACTGATGTTGGGTGAGAAGGCCTGGCTTGCAATCTCCGTTGTAGTTCATCCCAAAGGTGTTCTATAGGGTTGAGGTCAGGGCTCTGTGCAGGCCAGTCAAGTTCCTCCACACCAGACTCGCTCATCCATGTCCTTATGAAACTTGCTTTGTGTACTGGTGTGCAGTCATGTTGGAACAGGAAGGGGCCATCCCCAGACTGTTCATACAAAGATGGGAGTATGAAATCTCTTCTGCACACTGAGTGCCTCAGCATGCGTTACCCCCAATTTTACGTGGCCTACCACTTTGTGGCTGAGTTGCTGCTGTTTACAATTGCTTCCACTATGTTATAATACCACTAACAGTTGACCGTGGAGCAGCGAGAAAATTTCACGAATGGACTTATTGCACAGGTGGCATCCTATCACGGTACCATGCTTGAATTCACTGAGTTCCTGAGAGTGACCCATTCTTTCGCAAATGTTTGTAGAAGCAGTCTGCATGATTTTATACACTTGTGGCAATGGAAGTAATTGGAACACCTGAATTCAATGATTTGGAGGGGTGACCCAATACTTACAAAGTACTTTAGCCTATCGAATTGGCCACGCAAGTACAGTTAAACCTTGGATTGCGAATAACTTGGTCTGAGTGTTTTGCAAGACAAGCAAAAATTTTAAATAAATTTTAACTTGATAAATAAGTGAGGTCTCGCAATACGAGTATTACGTATATGCTTTGTCTGCTTAGTGTCACGTAATTACACCTGAGCTGAAGGTGGTTCTCTCTCTCTCTTTGTCGCTGCGGGATTGTGTGTAATCGTTTCCTATGCTTGGTCTCAGTCAGCGTGCCTCACTCATATAGTCAAAGTTTAGTAGAAAAGCACCACCCGAATAAGGGCGTAGCAGTGCGAGCGATGAATCTGTTTACTGACAATGCAATGTCCACATTTCCGCGAAATCGAAAAGGAGGCAAAAGTAGCTGTCATTGGATAGGTTCCTTGTTAAATAAAAAGATTCCAGTGAGCCAACAGATAGCAGTGATTCCGTTAGTTACAGTGAGAGTCATCCTACAAAATAACCCTCCTCTTCTCCTCTCTCTCGTCTCACTCACACCATCCACGATTTTTTTCAAAGGTAAAGTGCAGGTAAATTTTTTTTTTTTTTTAATGTAGTTTTACTCTAAATTTTGTATTAATAATTTTTATATGAATATTTTTGGGTTGTGGAACGAATCATCTGATTTTCCATTATTTCTAATGGGAAAATTCCCTTTGATATACGAGTGCTTTGGATTACAAGCACGTTTCCGGAACGAATTATGTTTGCAAACCAAGGTACCACTATTTTATAAAGGTAGGATGCTCTGATAAAGCATTTGTCTATTGAGATATGATACCTATAGTTTTAACTCTGGTAATACAATCTAGTAAGGTATTTCAGACCGTCACAACAACTGCTTGCATTACATTAGTTTGTGTTTTTCATTTAATTTAGTTATTATTTTTTGGACTATCCGCTTTTAGTTTCAGCCCATAAAAATGACAGCGTGTTTCGGTAGGGTAACACCGATTGATAGATATTTCTGTTGAAACGCGCTGAGGTAAGATAAACCGCCAGAAAACCAGAACCAGCCTACAGGCAGGGGGGTAGGAACCTGTACGCTACAGGTCTGCTTTGTTTAAATTTGGCTTACCCATAGGGGTGGCCAATCTTATCCGCAAAGGGCCGGTGTGTGTGAAGGTTTATGGGATACCCTTTAGATTAGCCTTTCAGACCCAGGTGTGAGAACTCTTCAGCCAATCAGTTCTGTAATTAGTAATCAAATTAGGGAGTTGCGACGAAAGGCCGCATACACAGCGGCCCTTTCTGGATAAGACTGGCCACCCCTGGTTACGGAAACATTTCTCCAATATGTCATTGGAGACACAGCTTTGTCACACAGCTTTTGAACAGGGATAACACTGACCTTCTTAGCTACCTATTCATTCATGCTCAAACGTAGCAGAGGCTTACACTCGAGGTGCACTAATCCCATATTTGGGGTCAGTATCGGCACCAATTCTTGCCTAATTAGACGGACTGGGTATCGGCCATATGTCACCAATCCACGTCCGATACTTATTTCATTTTGGCAGAGAGAGCTGCTATTTCTTGGTAAATCGATTTCTACAATCAATCGCATGACAGCTCTTTCCCATTTTAGATGCATTTTTTGCGGCACGCAAGATGTTGCCTTTCAGTGATTTTGTCACTTAGTTGGTATGAGGGCAGTAACTTCCGTCTGCTGTGATGTCACACGCAATATGGGGAGCCCAAGAACATCAGACAAGAGGGTGACGATAGTAAATGCGACTTGCATGCTTGCAAAACAAACATGTCTGCAATCTGCAAGTATTTTACGTAACGTTTTACGTGTAATCTTTGTAAAAACAGTTTTGAGAGGAAGTAGCATCGTACAATGACTAATTTAATCAAGCTACTTAAACTTCATCACACGAAGCAACATGACGAGTTCAGACAAGCTAAATAGAAAAAAGTTGAAGGTTAAAAAAACAGTGGACTTTGAAGCATTTAGTTATCATGAAAAACTTCCAAACAATAACTCAAAAGTGGCGAAAATAACAGAAAAGTGACTAGAACTCATTGTTCTACATGTCGTAGACAATGTGGGATTTTGTTACTTGATGGAACATCTAGATCCAAGGCACATTTTGCCATCTCAAAAATATATTTCTGAGATGGCTTTACTCTAGAGTGATTGTGTTCATTGAGGAACAAGTTAATGATGGGCAGTAAATCAGTTTCACTACAGACACAGTATTTGGATCAACATTGGGTGAACCTGCAAAGCTACACCTTTCAGAGCATAGTGCTACAAGTTAAAGACAGTGGCGGCATAATGGTTAAAAAAGTGCACTTACAATTAATAGATTGCTAGTTAGAATCCACAACCAGCAAAGTACGGACATGGACAAATTTGTTGGTACCCTTTCAGCTCACTGAAACAATATATTCATTTCTCTTGAAAAGTGATTCAATTAAAATCTATTTTCTTATGTATATATGCATGCCTTTAGTATGTGATAGAGTAAAACGATACAATTGTGAAAAGAAATTGTTGTTTATTGTACAAAGATATGCTAAAATTGTATGGACAGATTTGTCGGTACCCCTAAAGAGACTATTTATTCTAGCATCATAGTCATGTTTAACCTTAATTAGTACCACAGATGCTTTCAAGCTTTTCATCAGCCATTCAGCCTATTTAAAGGGAAAGAACATGCTACTATCATTGTGTGCACCACACTGACCATGGACCAGAGAAAGCAAAGGAGAGAGCTGTCTGAGGAGCTCAGAAAGAGGATTATAGATAACCATGTTAAAGGTAAAGGCTATAAGACCATCTCCAAGCAGCTTCATGTTCTTGTGACCACAATTGCCAATATTATTAAAAAGTATAAAGTTCATGGGACTGTAGCTAACTTCCCAGGACGTGGAAGCAAGAGGAAATGCAACCCCAGGCTAATCAGAAGGATAGTGTGGATGGTAGAAAAAGAGCCAAGGAGACCATCCAAAACCATTCAAGCTGAGCTCCAAGGTCAAGGTACGTCACTTTCTGATCACACCATGTGTCGCATTCTGAACAATAATGGGCTCCATGGAAGAAGACCCAGGAGGGCTCCACTATTGACAGAAAAACATAAAAGTCAGAGTGGAACTTGCCAAAATGCATGTTGACAAACCCCAAAGTTTCTAGGAGAATGTCTTTGGACTGATGAGACAAAACTAGAGCTTTTTGGTCAGTCACATCAGCTACATAAGAACATAACAAATTTACAAACAAGAGAAGGCCATTCGGCCCATCAAGCTTGTTTGGGGAGAACTTAACTAATAGCTCAGAGTTGTTAAAATTTTATCTAGCTCTGATTTAAAGGAGGCCAGGGTAGCTTGCACTACACTAAACAGGAAGACTATTTCATACCCTAACTACAAGCTGTGTAAAGAAGTGCTTTCTGAAATTCATTTTAAAATGTTCTCCCGCTAATTTCCACCTATGACCACAAGTTCTAGCATTTAAACTAATATTGAAGTAGCCATTTGGCTGAACAGCATCCAGACCTGTTAGAATCTTATATACCCCCCTTAGTCTCCTTTGCTCGAGGCTGAACAGATTCAGCTCAGCCAACCTCTCATCATAAGACATTCCTCTAAGACCAGGAATAATTTTTGTAGCCCTACGTTGAACCCTTTCCAAGGCAGCAATGTCCTTTTGCAGATTTGGTCACCAGACCTTAACACAATATTCTAGGTGGGGTCTTACCAAGTAATTGTATAATCGTAGCATCACCTCCCTTGACTTAAACTCCACACACCTAGAGATGTAACCCAGCATCCTATTAGCCTTTTTAATTGCTTCCCCACACTGGCGAGAGTGGGACATGGAAGCATCAACATACACACCGAGGTCTTTCTCATAATCAGCTACCTTTATTTCAGTGGAACCCATAAAATATCTATACTTTATATTTATGCTTCCTGCATGGATTACCTTACATTTATCTACGTTAAATTTCATCTGCCAGGTATCAGCACAGTCACTAATTAAATCAAGATCCCGTTGTAGCCTCTATGCTGCTAGTTCAGTATCTGCTACACAATCCACCTTGGTGTCATCTGCAAATTTAACCAGTTTACTTTATGTATTGGTGTCAATATCATTAATGTAAATTAGGAACAATAGTGGTCCTAAAATTGAACCCTGTGGTACCCCACTATGAACACAGGCCCACTATGACATTGTGCCTATAATAACTACCCGCTGCTTTCTGTCTGTTAACCAGTTTTCAATCGAAGCTGCTACAGTTCCTAAAATCCCTGTAGCTTTGAGCTTAAATAGGAGTTGTTTGTGGGGGACAACATCAAAGGCCTTCTGCAAATCTAAGTCGATCACGTCGTAGGCCTTTCTGGGATCAATTTCTCTTGTAGCTTCCTCAAAGAACTCAAGTACATTAATTAAACAGGATCTACCTCTCCTAAATCCATGTTGGTTATCCCTCAGAATGTTATTTGAATCCAGGTAAATCTACCATTTTCATTTGGATTATAGCTTCCATTACTTTTCCAGTTAAGCAAGTTAAACTGATTGGCCTATAGTTTTGCTGGATTACTTCTATCCCCCTTTTTAAATATGGGTGTTATATCAGCATGCTTCCAATCAGAAGGTACCACACCGGCAGATAAGGCTCTATGTTTACAGAAGGAAAAATAAAGCTTTAAAAGAAAAGAACACCATACCTACTGTGAAAGATGGAGGGGACTCGGTTTTGCTTTGGGGCTGCTTTGCTGCATCTGGCAGAGGGAACCTTGACACAGTGAAGTCTCAAGACTACCAAGGCATTCTGGAGCAAAACGTACTGCCCAGTGTCAGAAAGCTGAGCCTCAGTCGCAGGTCATGGGTCCTCCAACAGGATAATGACCCAAAACATACAGATAAAAGTACTCAAGAATGGCTGAAGAAAAAAAAAAAAAAGGACTATTCTTAAAACACCCTACATGAGCCCAGATCTTAATCCTATGGAACATCTATGGAAAGATCTGCCAATTGCAGTGGAAACGCCACCCTTCAAACCTGAGATCGCCTGAGCAAATTGCTCAGGCAGAGTGGGCCAAACTACCTATTTGCAAATGCAGACGCCTATTTGTGAAGTACAGAGATCGCTTGTTGGCAGTGATTGCTGCAAAAGGTTGTGCCACAAAATATTAAATTAAGGGTACCATCTTTTTTGTCCGTGCCATTTTCATTTGATTAATTATATAAAATTCTCAACTGAACCAATAAATCAAAGGCAAAGTCTGATTTGCGTTAAATATGGAATAAACAACAAAGGATGCCATTAAACTCTTGTCAGTTTTAAGTTATTTCAGAGATGTGTTTTGTGGAAGGGATCTGTGGTAGAAATTTGTGACACTCTGTGCTTCAGATTATGATGTCGCTTTCTTACTGAATCCAGGGAACATCCACTTCGCTGCCACATCCATGTTTATGCTCGAAGAACTTTAAGTTAACATCCCCTTTATAGTGGTACAAAGAACCGGACCAAACTGGCAGGGATGAGGCACATACACTTTATGCAGTCTGCATCTTGTCGAAATGAAGCATATGTCCTTTGTACAACCTCTACGTCATAGGCCTGGCCACATGCATACAGGCGCCACCCAACTGCAGCTTTTTCTTGACTTCCTGCTCTGTCTGATAAGCATGTTCCAAACTCATACTTGTTCTCTGGTCAGCGTTTCTGCTCCTATCTAATGAGCACAATATTCAAACACATATTGCTACACTAAGGTTAACTCTTAATTCTCTTGAGCTTACATTCTTGGGTGTTAGCTGTCTAACACACAGGCACTCTTGCATCAGCATATAAACGTGCACCGTTCTGTGGCGTGTCAACAATGACGACTAATCACTTTCACTATTAAAGAACTTCGTGGATCAGATACCAGCACTTCACTTTCAAATGCCATGAGAGAAATGCTGGATAAGAGAACAATCCCAGTAAACAAAGGGCACGCAATTGTGCAAGACAGTGAGAGCAATATGGAAAAAAAAAAGCATCAGATGATTTGGGGGTCGCTAGTTTGGACTGTTTTGTGCTCTCGCTGCAGTCTGAGATACATGAGAGGCTGTTATCACAACAAAGTGTAAGTAAAGTTGTTGAATGTTCAGCTACTATGAAATTTCAATCTCAACTACTTATTTAATAACGTAATTAATATAGAGTTTACATTAGGTCTTCGTTTGTTTCGCCTTTTGGCTGATTTTACAAGCACTGGAGCTGTGTTCTGTAATTATATTCGCCTGGTAATAACAACGTGCCCAGCAGAACCTGCTCAATTACATCCGGGCTGAAGGGAACCTGTAGCAGATCGCTGGCTGTGTGGCGCATGAAGAAGGGATCCAGTATACGGAATTGAGACGTCCTGCCCAGCCAGATCTGGGGCGGTGGCTTCCAGAAGCCCCACTGTACCTGGTTAAGTAAAGCCAGGGAGGGCCATGTCAGACACTTTCTGCTCCAGGAACAAATAAATACAAATTCCTCTACTAGATGTTTGGTCTGGAGATAAATACTTACTATCCTCTTCTTCTTGTACAGAATGTCCCTAAGCCAGATCAGGTCTACTAGCTTGAAAGGCACAAGCACCATGAGGGTATCCGGTTCGTTGTGCACTTTGGGGTCGTAGAAGGCCGATTCAGGGTAGAAGAAGCGCATGGTGGTCTTGTTGCCTACATCCTTCTCGTAGCCCCTCACGGGACCGTTGTTGATCCTGTAAACAAGCAGAAAACAGATCATAAGGTAGCTACTTAGGCAGACGCACACAGACAGTGTCAGTGATGTAAAGAATGATGGCTGTCCCAGTCACCAGATCTCAGCACATTTCAACATCTTGAGATCTGCTGGAGACCTGAACAACAAAGACACACCATTCATCCAGCCATCTTCCACCTGCGTACCCCAGTCAGGGTCGGGAGTCTGTCCCAGTCAGCACAGGGCATAAGGCTGGGGACTCCCTGGATGGGATGCCAGTCTATGGAATGGCACGCACACTCAAACACACTATCATGCACTATGTATAGTTTAGAGCAGTGTTCCCCGCATGGACCCCGTCACAGTCCACATTTCTGCTCCCTCCCCATCCCTGACACACCTCTTATAGATATTCAATGCTTTTGATTGGTTGGAAGCTGGGAGGGAGCAAAAATATGGACTATCACCCAGTACCTGTGGACAGGGTTGGGAAACGCTGAATTAGACACACCAATTTTCCTAAAGGCATGTCTCTGGATTGCAAGAGTGTCTGGACAAGACCTGTATAGAAATTCCACACATGCAGAAAGGTGGCGGAGGTTAAAACATGCCAGATATGGAGGAATGAAGTCCCAGTGTCACCCTCTTATCAAACAGTAGGACTGATTATGAAGGAGTGACGAATCTCCAGCACAACTCAAGACACCCAAGATAAGGTGCGCTGATGTTTCCTGGTGACTGCTGGAGGACCAAGACCCTACTCAGACACACACACCCACAGGTCATTGCTGCTACTTCCCATTCAGAGCTTGCCTGTACATCTGTGCAGTGACAAGCTAGCATTAGCTATCAATATGGCCAGCTGCTAAAACAAAAATCATACAGTATCCCGCTCATCAATTAGCATGAATACACATTACATTCTACAAAGTGTCATTCAACTCAAACATCCAGACCTACCAGGCTACATCTGGTGTGTGTAGGTCATGGACGTATTGTTTGGCAGCTGTTAACTCTGGAGCTACATAAAACTAGAGGTGAATGAAATGAACACCGTCATTGTTTCAAATGGTAAACAAAGACGACTTGGCAGGTATTGTGAACGCAACATTAGAAGGCAAAGACCCCTGTGACTAGGGATGGGAATCCTTAAGAAATTATTGATGTCAGTGCCATCATCGATTCTTCTTATCGATCCGGTTCTTTATCGATTCCCTTAATTCCTAATCACTGTAAAATAATCAAATATTAATTTATCACTGATTATAATTTTGTGGACAGGTAATTAGACCTGGTTAGCTATATTATATTTATTAAGAAAAACAGTAGTCCAGTTTTCTGCACCAAAAGCAGCTGTAGCGTGATATGAATAAACAATAAATTTAAAATATTCGTTATAACACTGTAGTAACAAGCACAGAGTAGAGTTGGATGTCTCGAGACCTGTCTTTGTCTCGATACCACTTTTATGTGGTCTTGGTCATGTCACAGTCTCGACGGTGTTTGGTCTTGGTCTTGTCTTGGTCTCGGATCCCTCGGTCTTGTCTTGGTCTCGGATCCCTCGGTCTTGTCTTGGTCTCGCTGTCTTGGTCATGCTGTCTCAGATCGACATAGTGTTCAGGAGATTTTGAGCGAAAAGTATCCATGACACACAATGTAATGTTCAATAATGCAACATTATTATTTTTTCGCCTTTTGTGCCCTTCAAATGCAACCAATCAATGACATACATGCACTTTGTTGTGATTCAGACATTGGCGCTCATCCAATCAAAATACGCGTTATACGCACAAAATAAATGTAGCGCTAGTTAAACGTTAGTTAAATGTGTAATCACATGCCACTGCAGACACCAAGATGTCAGAATCTTTTAAGCACTTGTCCTTATTCTTATTAATGCACAATTTGATGTGCATTTTGTATTGGTATATAGTACAGTGGTACCTCAGTTCTCAAACTCATTAGAACTCGAATTTCTTAAACGTCGAACCAACCAGTTGGGGAAAAAAAATTACCTAAAACTCGATCTGAATCTCAGAAGTCGAACCATGAACACCGACCCAAGATAACTTGTACGCGCAGGGAAATGAGTCTCTCACGTCTCTCAGTGGAATTCGATCAGAACTCAAACTTTTTAGGATTCAATCCGGAGTTCTGAACAGATTAAATTCGAGTTCTGAGGTACCACTGTATTTGTAGTTTGCATTTGATTCATGTGACTTGTGCGCATGTCTTTATATTGTTTGATTACAGCATTTTACTTAAAATGGTGTTTGACTAAATAAATCTGACCATTGACTTTTAAATAACATCTGCATATCACATTGTGTTGACTTAACAGGCCTAATCCATTTCAGGCAAGTTGATATACAGTGTCATTTGGCTAGTACTACTACAATGGGACATGATGCAATTTCAAGTTTATAATTGTGTATCTTCAATTTGATGTTACAATTTCATCTACAAATTAAGTATAATTGAAATCAGTTACATATTTCCCTTTCTTTAGACAGTTGTTGGAGGTGTTAGCTGTTTTGTCAGGTGACTTTGGGACCAGTCAGTACCTGTCATGTCAGTCCTCAACAGCACACAAAAGTTAAGGGAGTTTTTTTTTCGGTCTCTGTCTCGTCTCAACTTTGTCTTGGTCTTGTCTTGGTCTTGATACCCTCTGGTCTTGGTAGTATCTTGGTCTTGGTTTAGGCGGTCTTGACTACAAGTCTAGCACACAGGCACATTACCACAAAACCAGGCCATCCTCTTAACATCTGCACATGTTAAACTTACTAATGCTCCTAAAGTGGATGACACCCTAGTTTAATGTTACACATCTGCTTTACAATGTACTGACATACAAAACTAATGAGAGCATTTCACTACCAGTACCTACTGAAAAGCTTTTTGCTCTACTGTAGTGAAAGGATGCAAACCTTCCACCACAAAGTTTGTCACAGCCCTGTGGCACTCGTTCACCCTCTCCTCATTACATTTCGCTGCCTGGAAAGCTAGCGTGAACACATTTCGTTTTTCTGGCCATGACGTGATTGCTGCCTCAGAGGAGTTATTGCTGCCACCCTGTATGTCATCTTCTAAAATGGATAAAACAAACGTACTACATAATTCGTTTATGTTTCAGAAAACGTGCCTGTAGGTCAGGGGTCTCCAACTCCGGTCCTGGAGAGCTACTATCCAGTAGGTTTTCTGTCCCACTTGGCTTCTGATGAGCCACACCTGCTCCTGGTATTTACCTGAGAACAGGTGTGGCTCATCAGAAGCCGGGTAGGATAGAAAACCTACTGGACGGTAGCTCTCCAGGACCAGAGTTGGAGACCCCTGCTGTAGGTTAAGGCACCGTAGTTAGTTAACAGCGACTATGGAGACCACAGAGCTTGCACGCGGCGGAGTGGTGAACACATGGCAATCATTAAATGTAATGCTGTGTTGGCAGCTTAGATGCTTAAGCATATTGGCATGTTTGTAAAATGCAGCCATGCCCTGGACCGCTTCCTCCGCTCCATCAGGTGGATTCCAAGTCGCGGAAAGTCCGGATAAATCGTTAGAGGAATCAGAGGTGTACGATTCCGGTTCTTCGCAACAATAAGAACTTGTTCCAAAAATTGAGACCAGTTCCAAATTCCCATCCCTATCTGTGACTGTGGATGCTTTGAAAGATGGAAGCTCACACTCATTTTTACCTGATGACCACATTGTACTGGTTGATGGTGTTCCCCAGGGACTTGTTCTTCATGGTGAACCCATTTCCAATGACCACACAGGTTCTGCACTTTGAGCTGCAGATAGATCCAAACCAGTGAGTGATAGTCTTACGGTGTTCAGAAAATCTAAGAAATATATAATTATTATTCATTCAAAAAGTGAACTCAGTTTAAGATAGTGTAGATGGGTAATTCCTAAGTTAATGCTGAGTTTAAGAAAATGCAGACGTATTTATATTTGGTGGCCGGACTTGTGACCAGTGGCTATGATACCAGCATATTCCTGATGATTCTGGGATCTTTTACTTTTCTGGCCCTTTCTACTGGAGCTCCTCCCATGTCCCACCCCCGTACAGTAGGTACGGCTGTGACTAAGTTACTTCAGAATCCTGTATCAAGACTGGGTGGGGATCTCCTGCTTGCACAGTGCAACCTCTTGTGATTTTTTTATTTTTTTTTGTGCCTTTTTTGTGCACTTTTAGCCCTAAACTGCGAAGGATTGTCTGTTGCCTCTTTTCTAGCAACACAGAGCTGGTACTGGTGCTGGCCTGGTTCTTGCTTGGTGCCCGAGTTTCCACCGGTCTCAAAAAAGAACGGGGTGGAAAAAGTTAGGTATGTGGAAGTGAGAGTAAAGGTTTGTATGTATTCTGGTTTTTTGGATTTATTTTGATCATTTCCGGATTTGAAGTTTTTAGTAGCTACCGGGGTGAAGAAAAGTTTTCAGAGTATGACTCGTCGGGCTGTCTCTATTGCCTGTATCCACATTTGTCCCCTTAAAGACTCTCCAGTTTGTGTCCTAGTGAGCTTATTCTTGCTCATTATTTTACGGCTGTCTTGTTAAAGATCGCACAATTAAAGTCTGCTAAAAATGGAATTTTGTTGTCCGTGTCGTAATCTCTTCACCACTCGAGCGCCACAATATTTTAATTATTCAATCTGGGACCAGTTTATAATTTATTATTATTATATCTGGCCAGCGAACTGATCTTTCATTTTCCACAGAAAAAAATGATTTAATGTTATTCCACTAAAAAGCTGGGAAGTTGCTTCGCTGATGAACTATACCGGTTATGGATTGAATTTTCCGGGTATGCATAAGGTTTTTACAGGATACCCTGTCCCACTTTCGCTGGCGTTACGGTTCCAAATTCTGAGACCAGCTATTCTGTGGTGCTGTGCTGGAGTCATTTTTTTCTGGACAAGGGCTTGTTTTTTGTGGTGGAAACACACGGAACCGGTTCCGGACTGAGAAAAAGTCCAGAACCAGCTCCGGCACCTCAACGGTGGAAACAAGGTACTTCTACACATGCCAAAATAAACTGTTTTCCTCCCCTTCGGACTTTGGTGATACCTGGAAGCTTTTCAACTGATACTGCCTACCATGACCTACTTAATAAGCTGAATGCTCTCATTACATTTTACTGGTGTTTAAGTCAAGCCAAGTCTGGCAAGTCTCTTTTCAAGACGGTTTCACCGCATTCCTGTCTCATATGAGTTTGAGAAAAAATGTTACTGTGGCCAGATTCTTCTTTGAAAGAACTACACTGCACACTAGGGGAGGAGGGATCAGTCAACAACACCCAGAAGAGTGAGTAATGTTTGATAACCGGCCTCCATTTTTAAGGGAACCTTAAGGCCGTTTATGAGGTGTCCTAGGCACTGGTTAAATACGTTTTTCCACAAGGCTTGACATCAATTGGCAGTATGCAGCCCAGCAAGCTAGGCATCAGTGCCAGCGTCCAGTAGCTTCAAACTCTGTGGTCGGCAAAGTAATCATAGCGCAGTTAGGCCCTTAAGTAGGGTCTGCCACCCTATCAGCGCTAGGCATCCTGGGTAATCCTCTCTGACCTCAAACTTTCCTCATTTGTATGCCACAGTGGACAAAAGTATTTGCTGAATAGATACTAGCTGCATAATTTTAATGTTTTTTACATTTTACTTTTTTGTTCTGATGACCGGTCTTGTAAATTGATATTGACTTTATCATCCTGTTTTCTTCTCCAAAGACTCAATAGCAATTGTTTTAGGGTTTTATTTCCCCATACATTCCATTACATGAATCTATAAGTAAATGTCTAAATGGGTGAAACCTACTAAAAACCACTAGATGGTAACACGGGCCTTAGACTAACAAACAGGCATATATAACCAATATCTACAAATTCAGTCTCACCTGGAATCAGCACAGCTGCCCCTAATCATCCCTACAGGGTCATACAGACGAAGACCAGCATGGCTTCACAACCAAAGCCTTATCACCATGGTAACATAATATCATTAAAAAGCACTGAACAATTTGCCCAATCACGACCAACGAAGCCATGTCGAACACCTTTTGTCAATTTAAAAACCGCTACTGACTGAAAATAGCAAAACGTGACATGGTTTTTAATAATGAACGACGGTTAGGTTTTGCATCTCCTACCTCTCCAGATGTTCAGGAATGTCATCATAGGGCAGGACTGAAAAAATGTTCCTCAGGATGTTCTCTGGGGAGTGAAGATAATGCATTTTGACTTTGGACATTCTCAGACAGTCATACTATCATATTTATATCGAATGATTAATGTCTTTAATAACAGGTGGTGGAAAACTGCATCTGTAGGTAGCAACACCTGTTGGGTTAGCTACTCCCAGTATGTCAGGCTCCTGAATGACATTTAATTAATCTGTTTACTAGAGAACCACTCTGGCCCAGGCATGTAGTCATGTCATAAATAATGGGGTTGAATCTCCACCCCAGAAATTTGTTTACTAACCAGTTAGTAGAATTACGAGGTTAAACCCCACCTCCGACATGGTCAGCAAAATCTACCTAAGGGGTAGTGTAATGTAACTTTCTGACCAGCACAGGAGGACAGAGGTGACGTACCACTGGCATTAATGCCGTAAGGCAGCGGTAAACTGGATGAAAAGTCCCTCCGGGATAATTCCTTCAGCCTCAGGAAGAGACGCGTGTTTCTGCTCACGCTGGGTTTCACATGCGGCGTAAAAAAGGGAAAAGGCACAATCACAATGGACGTCTTTTAAAATATAAAGTCAAGAGAAAAAGTATAATACATATATCAAAGTTCTACATGTCTGCATGTGTATACAGCATCTACCTTTGTGTCCTTAACGGCTCCCCACCTGTGTGTGAGCTTATTCTTTATTCTCGCCCATTTTACCACTAGTTTTACTGCCATCTCATTATCGATTCACCACTCGAGTGCCACAATGTTTTATTGATTGGAAACACACACACACACACACACACACACACACACACACACAATCTGAAAAAAATTGAGACGACAGCAGAATTTTCACTTTCAGTATGCGTCTGGGTAAAATATACATTTTTTAAACTCCACCCTGGTTCTTCTCTGTCTCATTAATTCAGGACTTCGTTGCTTTATGGGACTTCAGTCCTGCTTCTAGCAGCCTGATACGGACTGTCCTAGCGTGCAATTCACACCACTTAATTTTTCCCATTCTTTATGAAGGTTACTTGAGGTCATCCTCTGATTTACGAGGCACTGCCAAATACGTTAACAGTCATCTCTGTTATCTGGAAGTCTCTTCCACCCTTTACCTGGCTGGTTGCTGGTATTTCCCAGTGTCTCCTGTCTTCTGCCAGAAGAACCAGAATTAAACCAGTATGTAAGAATGCAGATTTAAAAAAATCTATATAGTGGTCTTGTAATTATTTCCAGAACTGTGTGTGTGCACGTTAGGCATGCAGCGATGAATCGCGAATCGGTTAAAAATCGATGTAAATGTATGACAATTTAAACCGGCTGAAGTGGATAATGAATCGCTACTTTAGGAGTACTTCACGGTACTTCACGGTACTGTACTTAACAGAAAAACCAGTGTAATATTACATTTGATTTCACAATGTCAGTTCGACGGCAGATGTTTTTGGTTTTGACCGAATGCGAGATGGCGAGGGAATTTGAAATTGAGAACACCCCCCCCCCCGATCTTAAATCGGCGGTGTGGCAGCGTTTTAGCTTTCTGGTAACCACAAACGAAAATGGTAACCACAAACAAGACAAAAACTGTGTGCAGACATTGTAAAAGACTGATAACATACACAAATAGCACAACGAACATGCTTCTGCATGTCCACCGGCACCACAGTGAACATTCACATTCACCACCGCCAGAGCGAAGATTATTAAAAGGGCAAACCACTAAAAAGCTGCACATGCAAGTACACTTCAACATCCTAACATCCCTTAATAGCTTTAATATACATTAATAACAAACATTACATGATTATACAATTATAATGTCTTATTATTATATAATTTTTGTTATTGGTTTGCTATTGTTAGTGATTGTATTTGTCCTCAGTGGGGAAACCAGGTGTCCATCCACATGGTTTCAGGTGTGGGTGACTTGATGACCAAAGGCGGTTGAAGTATGACTTCACAAAGAAAGCATAAAAGCATGCTTCACTACTATATTTTAGCTCTTGGTTATACTGTGAAAACGACAGCTAACTTTCCATGATATGCATGGCAACAGAGCTAACTTTCCATGATATGCATGGCAACAGAGCTAACTTTCCATGATATGCATGGCAACAGAGGAAGTTTGTACTGCAAGCAGAGGTAAGTGGTAATTAGAGGTGGAAAGTTCAGGTCCTTTAGCTTTTATATTTTAATATAACAAATATATATCTACACTTTATGATTAATATTTCTAAACTAGTAAATACAAATAAAAAAATTGGATGCCAAAAAG